GGAAGGAAGGAAGGAAGGAAGGAAGGAAGGAAGGAAGGAAGGAAGGAGGCTCTTGGATGTTTCTCTGTGCATATCTGTGCAAGATGCATGGGCCTGCCCATCTGGAGGGCTAAAAGAGTCAGATGATGTTACTGTGAGAACAGTTTTGGATCGTAGTCAGAACATGAACATTCTCCTCTATTATGCTTTGCAAAGGGTCTGTCTGTTTTGTCATGAGGAGATGTGAGCTGTTTGTCAGTGAAATGAGCACAGTACCGCGGGATTTCCCACGCGAAATGATTCAAAACCCACGGACTCACATGAACCCATCCAGATGTCTCAATGGTTTGTCCTGACACGTAGCATGAACATGCCCAAATGACAGAATGAGCTGGAAGAGGGCTTGTTGTTAATTCTAAACATTGTGGGCTATTTGGAAAACACTTTTCTGAATTTTTATCCCTAATTTTCAGAAGGAAACTATTCTTTTAGTTCAAGAAGCACTAACAGAAGCAAGGCTAGCTGACTGGAGCCACTGCAAGCCCTGCAAAAACAAAAACAAAAACAAAACAAAACAAACAAAAACAACCAACCAACCAACCAACCAACCAACAAACAAACAAACAAAAACCCACAAGGTACAAGGGTAACATCCTTCTAAACTTGTGTGTAGAAATGCTGTCGGACCACTTGCACCCAGTCCCACTGTAGTCAAATCCTACATGTCAATATATGTAGATAGGCAGGACACAAAAGCAGGCATGCAGACTAAACTGACAGAAAAACTTCCAGTGAAACTTTCCAGCAGAGAAGATTCTTTCACAAGAAAAGAATGTGCAAGAACTACTTACAACAAGAATAAGAAATGCCATGTTGTGTCAGACCAAAAATCAACCTAGCTCAGTACCTGACCTCTACCAGAAGGCAGGAGCACTCACTTACAGGAGAAAACAGAAAATGAGTCCTTGCAGGACTGCCCTTTCCTTGTTATAACTGGCTGTTGTTTTAGTAATCTGCTTGAGGACCCCCCCCTATATCAGGTGGCTGGCAGAGCCACCCTCTACTTACACATCCAAATGTTCTCTGAACATATTTTTGCCTTTGGCCATCATATTTACTTCACAATGACTTCCGCCATTTATTTAGCCACTAATGTCGCAAATTGTTTCCTTCTATTTGTTTTAAACTTATTACCTGAAGAGTTCTTCTGGTCCTTCTGACTCCAAAACCTCCTTATGAGAGCTGCTCAGGAAATTTTCCAAGTACAATTTCATTGGGAAAGGTCAATTAAGTTTAACTGAAATTTCTCACAAAAAGAAAGTAGTTTCAAAAAGAGTATATTCTCAGTTCTTTGATGGACTTTCTTTTGTCCCTCCGTTCTATCCTTTTATACTTAGGATTACCACATGTAATGTGGGGTACCCAGGGTTAATTACATGCTACTCACAATTATTTTATCAGGTATACAAATCTGAACAATTCTATTGCAATGTGGAAGACTCTGGTTCTAGTCTACGGTACAAACAATGTAGAGCAGAGTTGAGCTTTGGTCTATCTCATGGCCACATGCCATAGGGACTGGATTATTCTAGAATGATTTAACTTATTTTTCTAATTTTGAATGACCACAGGTTTATCCTGAAATAGAATAGATACAGAAACTTTCCCAACTCTGTTCTGTGTGCGTTTCCTGTTCCCTTCTTCTATCTTGAACTTCCTCATTAAATGTACCTTAATTGTGTATCAGAAATTTCCATTCATTTTGAAGTGAATCACTGAACTGGAATTTGCATAAATAAAACACGCAAATATCTGCAATGCAAACACATAAACTCCCGTAAAAGAAATCCCACTTTCTATCTTTTCTAAGACTCCTTGTGGTTACAATGCAACAACATGCACTCCAATTAGTTCCTTGTCATGCTGGATGCTTTATCAGCAGTGAATACTCTCAAAATCCTTAGTTTCAATGGTACTGCCTTCTCCTGGCTTTCCTTCTTTTTCTGTTTCTTTTGAGCAGCCTTTTTTCCACTATCCACTCCAGCTGGTATATGATAAAACTTATTACCCAGAATTTCTACTAACCAAGTCCTCTTGTCCCAGAATAAAACTGAAGACAGGTAGGACTGAGTTATAATCCTTAGAATCATTCTACAAGGTTTTTAGGTAAAGTATTGAATTGGTTTCTGTCCGAAAAAATACAACATATGAATAGGTATCCCCACCAGAAGGTGACATAACCCAGATGTCATGTTGACTTGACACTGACTTTACAGCCCTCTACAGAGAGGAAGAAACTTCCCCTTCATCAGCCAATATTTAGGACCTCTCCTGCCTCACTGAGAACCCAGAAGCTCCTCATCCCACGTACCTCCCTTCAGACAAAATGAAATGTTGTCCCATATACATCATTCATCAAAGCCATGCAACATAATTAACAGCATCATTCAGGGGATTTCAGTAGGTACTAAGATCCAAAGATTCAAAGCTTGGATACTGTCTTATTGCAGCTTGGGTAGACAAAAATGTGTCAGGAAGACTTTCACAGACATGTGGCACAGGAAACATTCTGCCTCTGAAAAGGAGCGTAAAGGCGTGTCAAAGCTATGAGGCACTGCAAACCAGGTTCTTACCTCCAACACAGAGGACACTAAAAAGGAGTGTCACCTGTGGGGGATCACCTTTTGGTGATTTGAAGTAACACTGTAGATTGGAATTGCCCCCCACAAAAACTGAAACAATTAGAGCTATAACAAATACAAAGCCTCCAGCAAGCAACATGCCAGGTGCAGCCAGGTACACTGAAGGCCTGGGCATTCTTTTTCCTTTGGCACTATTTTCCAGCCCAGCAGTAGGAAGAACAGAGAGCTCCCTGTGAAGAGTTATTGTCCAAATCAGAGGTCAAGTCCAGACTTCACAGCCGGTAACACAGCACTCAGCCAGGAACTCTTTCTCCCTAGCACTGCAGCACAGAATGGCTCACCCCAGCACAGGACCTCAGCTTCCCTCTTACAACTCCACAGCTTCTCTGGAATTATTTTTTTAGGCCTGTGGTTTTCAGCAAAGAGGAATCTAAAGAACAAAACCTTTGTTCATTACATCATGGCTCCAGTAATGTCTAGGAACATTTTTACATTTGATAAAATCTCCCCAGATTACCTTTTGAAAGCCTGCGGTCAAGTCACATGGCTGGAAGCACAGGAATGATGTAAGTAACCACTGAGTAGCCCGTAGATCAGTTCTCTCATGATGCTAGCACAGAAGGTTGGGAGAGGCATCACTTCTTCAAGGGAACGTGGAGGATTAGCTGAAGTCAAGGAACAACTGTGCCTATGGAGAGACAGGAGGAATGGCCTGGAGTTACCTGTGCTTCTTCTCACTTTGCAAGAATTTGGGGCCCAAGTCGGCTTGCAGTGCCAACTCTCCGCACTAATACTGCCCATCCCTATCTATTCCTCTGTGTCTGTTTCCTCTGGGTATGTTGTCCCATCCTGGCTATGGTTTGGAAGCTCTACGGGGAAAGAAGATGAAAGACCTATCTTTCACTGTGAGTCTGTGGCGTATGAGACTTTGCTCTCAGTCCTACTTC